TCGACTAACACGATGGGCACTGGCTTTGCAAGGACGGGACATAACCATCAAGTATAAGCCAGGAGTTTTCTGTGACAATGCGGACGCCTTGTCGAGGTGGCCACTCGAGCGGAGTGATGACAAAGATCCACACGAAGAGTTGGATCAGGTGCCTAACTTTGAAGACTTTAAGGACGAAATTAAAGTCTGTACCATACGGACCTTACGACGTCTAAAGGACAACGCTTACAGGAAAAAGAAGAGGGATGAGAAGGAACCACCGGAGATTCCACTTCCACCACCTCTTCCCGGATGTAACGTCATTTCGGACTGGGATGACCTAAGTACCACAGAAGTACGGGTCGTCAACGTACCAGCTCCGAAGACGCCGGACCTCAACACACAGGAACCGACCATCCGGACCGCAAACACAGCGGAAGAGCCGGACGAGTTGAGCCCACATGGCGAGACACTCGTACCGCCCGCGTCAACAAACGCGGAATTGCGCAAAGCACAGCTGCGAGACCCGCACTTACGGAAAATTATCGATGAACTGGAGAACCTGGATAAACTCGACTACAAGTCGAAGTACACCGAGCACTACCAGATGGCTCAAGGACTCCTGTATCGATTGAAGGTAATAAACGACAAGCTGGAACGATGCTTCGTCGTACCTCTCTTCATGCGAACCAACATCATACGTTCGCTACACGATGGGAAAACCGGAAACCACTTCGGACGCGATAAAACCGTAGAAGCATTGAAGTTGCGCTACTACTGGGAACGGATGTCAACCGATGTGTTTGAATACATTCGGAAATGCCGACAGTGCATTTTGGCCAACAAGGTCCGACGTCCCCCACCGGGTAAACTCCAAAAGATGGAAGTTGGTGAAGCTTGGTATCGCATCTACGCGGACTTCAAGGGACCTTTACCTCGAACGCGGACGAAAGGATACCAATACATCGCAGTGGTAACCGACCAGCTGAAGAAGTTCACCATCGCCCGGGCAACCAAAACAAACACCGCGAAGGAATTTTAAAAGTTCTTTGTGGAAGATGTCCTGCTGAAGTACGGAATGCCGACCTTCATCCACTCGGACCGAGGGACGCACTTTACGGCGAAAACATTCGCTAAAGTTGCGAGGATTTTCGGCATCCAACATACGCTTGGAACAGCCTATCATCCGGAAGGTCAAGGACAAGTCGAACGGCAAATGCAGACGATATGGGACGGAATACGAAAGTTCTGCAACATAAAGGACGGACACCGTTGGCACAGAGCCTTACCATATGTCGTCTGCGGGATGAACAGAGCAGTCCATGCCTCGACCAAATTTTCACCTTAACATATGCTGTATGGTCGGGAAATGACCATGCCACAGGACTTAGTGGCCGGGACGAATGCACCGGAACAGTATACGGATAAGGAGCACTACATTAGGCGGATTAAAGAACGACTTCAGATGGCTCACGAAATTGCGCGCATCAACATTGATGAAGCCTTCGAACGGAGCGCTGAAATTTACAATAAGAAGAAGTCGTCACCGACCTTCAAACCACGGGATAAGGTAACGGTGGAATTCCCAACTAAGGACCCCGCCAGGATGGAACGATACGACGGAGAGTGGACGGTCATCAGTTACGTTGGCCCAAACAACCTGCTACTCCGAAGTGAGGACGGACGTGAAGACACCGTAGCCGTCGACCGAGTGAAACACTTCCCAGCCGACGCACGTCGACCAGTAACTCGGTCATCGGGTCAGAAGAAGCCGGATAATGACCTGGGAACCGACCCCACAGAAGGGAAGGCGACCAGTAAGTCAACTAAAAAGCCTGAAGTAACCATCGAGCAGTCGGAGAAATCGGACTTAACAGACCAACCCGAAGTAACGGTTAAGAAAAGAGGTCGAGGTCGACCTCGGAAGAAACCGCCGATGGACTTCGAGACACCAGCCCTGCAGGAACTGCAGAAGCAAAATGTGATACCGGATGAACCAGCTGAACCGACCTCGGAGAAGCCTAAGGAGTCGGACAACAAGTCCGAAGAACCAGTTCAGCCATCCAACCAACCTACGGAAGAATCCAAGAGGTCGGTGACTAAACCGGCAAGGAAGAAGAAGTCGAATAAGACGACCGACCAGGCGGCACCGACCACAGAAGTCGAAGTAGCCGACCCGGCAGTCGCACCGACGAAGCCAAAACGGACTTACAAGAAAAGGACGGTTAAATCAACCGACCCGGCGGCACCGACCACGGAAGTCGAAGTGACCGACCAGGAGGTCGGACCACACAAGCCGAAACGGAAAATTGGAACGGTTAAGAAACCCAAGCTGACAGCACAACAAGTGCTGGTGGAAACTGAAGTCGCTGAAGACGAAGCTCACAAGGAGATCCTCGATAGAATTTCGGAAGTACGAGCGGACTCGGAGAAACCAGTCAAAACAACAAAATCAAAGACACCTAAACAAGCAGTCACAACAGAACAGACTCAGTCATAGGGCCATAGGCGTAACTTAGAATAAGTTATAGTCATAGGTAGCTTAACAGTAGCTAGGTATAGGCCGACCTTTGGTGTCGAAATGGAACCTCTTCAGTTGACCGGAACATCTTCAGTTGAATTTACGGGAGTTGGTAGAATTCTAACGCGCCGTATTCCTCTCCTTAACAGCAGACAACAATGTCGGGCCGACAACGCAACGACCCACCTTCTAGCGGATCCAACAGCGGACGCAGTGGTAGCGGCTCGAACCGGTCGCACCCTTATTCGCAACCATACTCGTCTCACCATCGCTCAACTTCGCGATCGGATAATTCGCGGTCGGCAACGAACACACCGCTGCCGCAGGTACATAACCCGCATGCTAACGATACAGCTAATGTCTTAGCAGGTTTAACGGTCGGGCCAGAACGAAGCCCACAATATCGACCAGTACCACCGCAGCATCTGCCACCGAACACTGGATTTACGACTGGCGGACTTCTCGTCAACTATGGCGCGAATGGGAACCAATCCGCCACGGTAACTGCGGGCGACCCACTCGGTCAAGCGCAACCTTACCGATGGTCGGCACCAACAACAATGGTTGGTCCGACCTATCCAGTGCCCACGTTAGTGCCTGGAATGGTGAACGTACCACCGCCGATTTTCACAACGCCCACTTTGGCGTCGAGCCAGCCGACATGGGCTGGACCGGTAACTCGATACGTGCCAGTGTCGGGAGGAATGGGAACGATAACTCCGACGTCACCAACGCGATTCGGAACGTTCAGCGCGATAGGGCCAAACAATACCCTATCACCTCCCCGACTTGGAACATTCAGTATCGCGGGAGTGGTACCACCTTTACCGCTTACGGGACCAGTCTCACCGACTCACATCGGACTCCCGGGACAACCGATTCCATGGGGGAATCCACAAGTGGCACAGTACTTGATTCAGTCGCTTAACCAGCACTTGAGTCAGTACGGAGGACAGGCCCCACATGGGACTGTACTGGCGACGACCACACAAGTCGTACCGCCGCGACCTCCTCCGCCACCACCGACTGAACTTCCCACACCGACCTCTACGCAAAGTAGGTCGATACCAACGGGAGAGTTACGGAAACTCGACCAAATCGCTCGTGACCAGGCGCGCGACTTAACGCACCAGTTGTCGACAATTACACCGACAACTCCTGGTTACCTGGACAGAAGGGTGGAAATCCTGGATCGAATTTCCGGACTCCAGACCTTCATTAACGACAACACGAATATATTCGCGATTCGGAACCAACGAGCGGCCCAACCGACGTCCGCCTCCACAGCTCAACCGTCATCGACAACGACCACGCAAGTCGTTACGTCGATGCCTCCACCACAGGAACCGACCTCGTCTACCACACAGCCTGGTAGTCGGACATCCTTCGCGGAGGCCATGGAACGCCGAAAGCGGAGAGACGCTGAGCTGAAGCGATCAAAGTTGGAGGAACTCCGACAACAACGAGAAGATGCGTGGAACGAAACGGTTGAACTCAGACAGACGCTACATAAGCTGTCTACTGAACAACCCGACAACCATGCCGCATGGAAAGAGGTCATGGACCAACTAATTGGTTGGGACCACTACATGAGGGATATGGACGAACAAATCGAGAAAGAGGGAACACCACCTCCGGAACTCTCAATCGTCCCCCCGACTCAGCAGATACAACCGGTTCAGCCGAGTCCGACCTCACCAGCTACGGTGCCCAATATGCCGAACGTGCAACCTCAACCAGCACCGAACCCACCGGCCCAACAGGAGGCGGTAGTAGATCCGGTTATACAGGAACTACAGTACCTCCAGCGGGTATCAGACATAATGATGACCCGAATGGAGGCGGTCGGACAAGATCGGAGGCTCGAACTGCACGAGTCAACCCGACTGGGAAGGGACTCCCAAGATATTAAGAAAACCAATGCCCAGATCCAACACGTGATCAAGAACGGCATCCCCAAGGAACAACTGCCCTTAGCGACCTTCCACCAGAAGATAGCTCACCTTCGGCAGTTAATGGACCAGTACCCCAGTATTCCCAAAACTTAGAAGCGTCAGAAGGGCGATCCGAACAACTACGGATACCCGACCCTGTGGCCATCGCTTCCACGCTGAACGAGGCCAGACGACTTCGCCAGGTATGGACCATGGATGAACACATAATGGACTTGTCGTGAATTACTAGTTTATTGGCGAGCTCGCTATCGCATACTGACTCAGCATATCGAACTGCATCAGCTGACAATACATAAACATAACAGTCGTTGCTACGTGCTACATCTCCCCCAGTGGGTTGCCCACTCATAAAACCATCAACAAAATAAAAAAGAAATATTACATTTCATTTATCAACAGTTTTGGGGCTTTTCCGGCGTTCGTTCTTCCAGTTCTGCGTAATTCCTCCGGTGGCTGTGCAGGCTTCGCAGCTTTCGGTGGTTTCACCTTACCGGATGGTAGAACTGTCGGCTGTACCTTTGGCGGCGCGACTGGTGCCGTCAGCGTCAGTTCCTGTGTGATGGGCGGAAAGTTGGCTTCACTTCCGGCTGTACCATCACCTCGGGCTGTGGTTTAACCTCCGATTGCGGCTGCGTTGGTGACGTCGGCGTGCGCGCTCTGGCAGGCGAGACCGTCTTCTCCATTACTTTCGTCGGAGGAAATGTTACCGATGTCTCCACGGCCGTTTGACCATTCCCGGTATCTGCTTCCGTGTGTTCCGGCGTCTCCAACCAAAATCGAGGGCGTATTTGGTTTGCATGTCGCCTCCACAGCAGATCGCTCACTTGCACCTCCCAAATCAGCCGGCTTTCGCGCTTAATCAGCTTGCCACTGATCCAGTCCACTGCACGGCTTGGGCGATAGTCTCGCACCAGGACCAAATCACCCAACCGGAAGTCTTTCTTCCTTGTGTGCTGGTCGAAGTTTCGGCGGTGGCGCTCCCTGTTCTTTTCTGCCGTGGTCAGCAGCACAGGGACTAGCAGATCCAGCGTCGAGCGCATCTTCCGACCCAGAAACAGCTCGGCTGGCGTTTTCCCAGTCGTTGCGTGAGGCGCGTTACGGTAGCGCCAGAGGAACTCCCTCAGCGCAACCGGCAGGCGCTTTTGGTCGGCCATGAGCTTGGAGACGCCGTCCTTCACCGTCTGGACGTAGCGTTCCGCTTGGCCATTCGATTGGGGATGTCCCGGTGGCGTCCGAAAATGCCTAATGCCGTATTGCTGGCAGAATTCGCTGAACTGCTCGGACGTGAACTGTGTGCCGTTGTCTGACACTATCTCAGTACATGGCCCGTAGTGGCTGAACATGTCCAGCAAAGCCTCAATCACTGCGTCCGTGGTTGCATGTCGCATCGAGACCACTTCCGGCCACTTGGACATGCCGTCGACCACGACGAACAACATCGTGCCATGGAACGGTCCGGCGAAGTCAACATGGAGTCGTCTCCATGGTCCGACGGGCACTGGCCACTGTGACAGCGGGACCTTCGCCGTTTCTCCAGCACGTTCAGTGCATATACGGCACGCTTTGGACACCCGCTCCACGTCCCGGTCCATGGACGGCCACCAACAGTACCCGCGGGCTTCACCCTTCATCTTTGCCGCTCCAAGGTGGCTTTCATGCAGGTACGACAGTATCTGCGCTTTGCGCTTCTTCGGAATCACCGTCCGGGTGCCCCAGCACAGACACCCGTTCACTGTCACCAGTTCACTTTCTAGCCGCTTATACGGTCGCAGCCCTTCTCTCACGACGCTCGGCCATCCAGTCTGGACGTAATCCAGAACGATGCTGAGCTCCGCATCGGCGCAAGTCTCCTTTGCCACAGTTTCTACCGACACTGGTAACCGTCCCGCGTTCTCCGTGTGCACAGCATTGACTATGCTGTCCATTCCCAGGTTACCCAACTCGGTCAGCTCCGTGGAATGCAGTGGTAATCTGCTTAACCCGTCCGCCTGGCCAAACTCTTCTGTTCGCCTACTCGATGGCAAAACTGTACGCCATCAGCATCAACGCCCAGCGCTGAAGGCGGTTCGCGGTCACCACCGGTATCCCTTTTCGGCCTCCAAACACGCTCAGCAGCGGCTTGTGGTCCGTCAGCAGGGTGAATTCTCCCAGCAATATACTGGTGGAATTTCTTGCACCCGAAGACCAGGGCGAGCTTCCTTCTCAATCTGCCCATATCTGGTCTCGGCGGCGTTAAGGCTCCGGATGCGTGCGCAATCGGTCTTTCCGTACCGTCCGGGAACCGATGACACAGCACCGCTCCAATGCCGTACTGCGATGCGTCGGCTGCTACAATCAGCGGCATCGCCGGGTCGTAATGCACCAAGAACGTGGCTCGGGCAATCTCCTGCTTCAGCTCCGCAAACTGCTCTTCGCATTGTTTTGACCACGCCCAGGTCACGTCAGCTTTCAGGAGGTTGTGGAATACATGGCACTTCGCTGACAGATTCTTTACGAATTTGGCATAATGGTTGACCATGCCGAGAAATGCGCGCAGTTCACTTACGTTCTTCGGCGGACCCATATCCAGCAACGCCTTCACACGATTTCTCGAAATGTGGCGGCCACGACTGTCCACGATGAAGCCCAAATACTCCACAGACAGCTGCATGAAATGACACTTGCTGCGCTTCAGCGTCAGTCCGTGTTCTGTCAACCGCGCCATGACCTTTTCGAGGTTTCGCAGGTGCTCTTCATCCGTGGCGCCGGTGACGATGATATCGTCCAGGTATATGGCCACGCCTTCGCAACCATGGAGAATCTGCTCCATGATTTGCTGGAATATGCTGGGCCCACTGGCGACGCCGAACGGCAGTCGGTTATACCGAAACAGTCCCTTGTGTGTATTAATCACCACAAGCTGTTTACTGTCGTCGTCCAGTTCCACTTGGGCATACGCCTCGGCGAGATCCAGGGTACTGAATTTCTCTCCGCCGTTTAACTTGGCGAATAATTCGTCAGGCGTTGGGAGCGGATACTTCTGAACGTCTAACGAGTCGTTCAGACCAGTGCTTAGATCGGCACACGTTCGCACATCTCCAGCCCTCTTCAGCGTCCCCACAATGGGCGCCGCCCAATCGGCGTGTTCGACTGGAGTGAGTATGCCGCGCTCCACCAAACGCTCCAGGTCCTTCTCGACCGCCTCTCTGAACGCGAAAGGCACTGTACGGGTTTGCAGAACACTGGCCGTGCCCCGGTTTCGAATGGAGACGCGCTTTATACCGCTTGCAGTGATCCAACTCATCGCAAAACACTTCCTTGCGCCGGTCGAAGACTTCCTCCAGACTGCTGGCTACGCTGTACAATGCACCGGACTGCAGGTCACGCAGGCTCATGTGGCACAAATCCAAGGCGCGTATCCAGTCGCGGCCGATCACATCGCCACCACGGCCCACTACCACCACCGGCAACTGCTTCCGTACACTAGCGCGTTGTACGTCCACTGTGGCGGTTCCGATCACTGTCAGCGCATGGCCAGTGAAACTCCTCAGCGGCTGCGTATACGGTGACAGTCGCGGCGAACCAATCCTCCTCCACGTCTCCGCCGTGACGATGGTAACGCCCGATCCCGTATCCAGCACTGCTGACACTAGCGTGCCGTTCAACTTCAGCGGTATGCGTATGGACTGGCTGCCAGCAGCTTCCACTGCCAACACGTCGAACTCTTCTTCGACTAGCATTGTGCGTCGTCCGTCTCCACGCTGCTGGTTCTGTCTGGGCGCAGTGCAAATCTTCGCAATGTGACCTTTCTTGTTACAATTGCGGCAGGTGACATCTTTCGCCCAACAGTCTGCCCGGACGTGGCCCGAATTGCCGCAGCCGTAGCACTTCGCACCACTGCTCGCCGCGGCCTGGCCTGCTCCGCCGCCACGCGCTCTCTGTCCCATACCACGACGATTTCCGCGTTGACGATTTTGGCCGCCGCTCCGCCTCAGCCCACCACTGATGCCTGCTACATCCACACCGCCCGGCGCCTTCTTCGCGCTAGCCTGGGATAGCTCGAACTGTTCCGCCAGCTCCAGAGCTTTATCCAGTGTGTCGTAGTCCTTCGACATCAGATGTCGCCTGGTAGCCTCTCCCTGCAGCCCGTTCAAAAAGGTCGCTTTCATGTTGTCCTCCAGAACGTCTGCCGGAAAGCTACACAGGATGGCCTTTTTGCGGAGTTTATTTGCGAAATCCAAAAGAGTTTCGCCCGTATCCTGCTTCAGTACAAAGTACTTGGCCCATTCGGTGGATTTCAGTGTCTTCTTCACGTATGCCCTTTCGAGTTTAGCGAGAACTTCTGCGAGTGTCTTGTCGGCTGGATCGTTCGGCAGGCACATAGCGTGTACCATTTCATAGGCTTCCACACCTAATGAATCCAGTAGAACCCGCTTCTGCTCCTCTTCGGTGACCTTCTGGAGTTTAATGAAGTTCTGGTACCGTGACCTCCAAGACATCCACGCCATCTTGTTGGGCTCGAACTTTAACAGGATAGGAAGCGTCGTTTCGTCCGTCATCGTCGTGAATCAGCGCGTGATAAATTCGTAAGAGTTTTTAGTACTACCTTCACGCCAGTTTGTCGTGAATTACTAGTTTATTGGCGAGCTCGCTATCGCATACTGACTCAGCATATCGAACTGCATCAGCTGACAATACATAAACATAACAGTCGTTGCTACGTGCTACAGGACTTAGGCGAGGTAATCGGCAACGCACAACGACTTGCCGACCTGGATAGAGCCATCTACTCGGCAGAACGCCTTAGCAGCCGAGGTCGACCAACAACGGACGACGAAGCTCAACGGCTCATTAACATCCTGGAGCGACTAAAAGTCCTGATCCAGAGCGAACCTTTAATGGCGGAACAACAAGTTCCCCAAAAACGGGACGGGAAGTATCAAGCAATGGCACTCCAAACGGAGCAGTCCAAGCAGACAGAAGCAGCTTGGAGAGTCTCGAAGGTAAAGAAACGCTTCGGACAATCTACGAACGCGTCTTGCTGGGCACCGAACCAAGGGCCTTAACCAAAATTGCCGACCTCCGAGCTTACATAAAGCTCGCAGAGGGCCTGGTTAAGAAAGACCCGTCAACCGCAACGATGCAGGAGAAACACCAGCTTCGGATGGCGGTCGAGTGGATTGGGAGACAAAATCTCTTTGAAAAGAACCCTCCATCCCAGATACCCCTACCGAACCGGAATTATGTGGTATCCCCGGACTTCTCCACACAGTCAGCAAGTCCAGCGACGTCGCCGAGGACGGCCCTGCACAACAAAGTACAGGAAGACCGCCAAACCCGGATATCCACCCACATTTCGGATGGATGGGACCGGCTCGACGACCTCCAACGGGCATATGTACACCTGACACCTACGGACCCAGATGCCATTAGAACGGCACGTCAGAAGATCGACACCTTGGCTGCTTACTTAAAGCAAGCCCAGGATCTCTTCGATAAGGTCGATCCGAACGACACCGAGAGCCGACAACTCAGGTCGGTAGTTGAAAGGATCGTGGAAATCCTCGACTCGGAATCGTCGTGCACTCGGATTGCCACACCATTACCTCCTCAACGGCCAGCACCGACCGCAACAGCAGTAATGACGTTGGTACGAACAACGCCGATACCGGACGTCTTGAAGCACGTGGAGACAATTGCCCACGCAGGTCGGGACTTGGCTGAAATTTACAACTACCAGCTGAATCGACCGATGTCACCAACGAAAGTGACCGACCTCGAACGAACGGATCGACACCTGCGGATCGAGCTGGACTTCGCTGAAACACTTAGCGAATGGGGCGTCCCAACATGTGGCCAACCCAGAGAACGGTTGGAGGAAGCCCTTCGGTCAATAATTGACCATGTTAAACGGTATCAGCCGGTGCCAACACAAGCACCAGCCAGAGAGGTAACGCCACCTGAAGCGGAACCCTCTCCAGCCATATCACCGGCACCAGCCGACGGACTCGAATTTGCCGAAAATGCCAGAGACCAACAAGAGGTCGACCTGGATGAGGTCGAAAACCAGTACCGAGAGGCTGTAGATACGCTGGAGAATCTAGCCAAACAGCTTCGCGACCTTAACTCAGCAGATAAGTCGGAAGAACGCCTGAAGGTAGCGCTGGAACAACAGCACACCATCTGCTCCAGGCAGGTTGATGACTTGTGGAAAATGTTGGAGGCGAATCCACGCTTTAAAACACAAGGCGAACTTGACCGGGAGGAAATGAAGAGGTTGAAGACGGACTTCGCCCGGGCAGAACAAATAGCTGCCAACCTCCAGGCCCAGATCAACAAGATGGAAGGCCACGACCCAACAATGGCTAACGTGAAGAGAGCACTGCAGGATCAACTTAGATTCTCGCAGATACGCGTCGCTGACCTCCAAAACAAAATCGACGGTCACCGAAGAATGATGACTCGGATAGCAGCAAAGCAGCAACCGACCTCAACAGGAGGACCGGCTCAGCCGAAGCCACCAGTACAGGACTTGGCTACGTTAAGAAGCGCCCTAAGTTACGCGGAAGAAATCGTTGTCAACATGACAGTGCGACTCGCCGGCATGGACGACAATGATCCAGCCCAAGCAGCCGACAAGAAAGCTGCTGAAGACCGACTGGAGTCTTCGCAACAACGAGTCCGCGAACTAACGGCAGAAATCGCCGCACTTCAAATTCAGCAGTCAGCACCGACCTCGACTAGCTCGACTCAGCCGACCTCTACAACAGGACCGGCCCCACCGACCTCAAAAGTAGGAACGGCTCAACCTAAGCCAGTGGACATTAGCGACCGACCTATGTCCCCGGTTACTGAAGCCAGAATAATGTCAGCAATACCGGACCCAGGAACGATGCCAACAAGTGCACCACCTCACTTGGTTAACCTGGTGAATCAGACGATGGAACTCATTACAGAAATGAGAGCCCGTCGAATCTTTTGTGATTCCAACAGCCGGTTAGCACAAGACTTGGACCGTGATATTTTGGCTTGGGGAACTAACGTAAAGTTCCTCCGCCAACTCCACCATCCAGACGCGCCGAAGACTCCCGGCATAAGAGGCCATATAATAAGGACCTCTTCCTGGTTGGAAACGCGAGTCCGAGATTACATTGAAGAACGGGACCGTGACCAACAACGAAAGGAAACCTCTGAAGCATCGCTGCGGACTGCAGCAACGGACCGTCGAGCTCGGATCACACAAATCCAGTCGACACGTAACCCGACGGACCCTTTCGCGGTTCCACAATCCATACCGGATGACGAAATCCAGTTGACTCTGCAGACCGCGGACAGATTGATTGGTGAACTTTACCAATTACGGGACTCAACCGACCCGCAGACTCCGCAGTACTGCCAAATCGACATCAACCTAGGCCACTTGGAGAACAATACAAAGGAGGTCCGATTTATTCTCCGACCTGAGACGCAACGGACCGTCAAGAATCAGGATCGGTTACGGATTCTTAAAGTCAAAATTGACAGCTTCGCGGAAGACTTCTACAAACGCAAACAACAGGAAGCAGAACGCAAGCTGAAAACTCCCGCGAAGAAGATTAAGGCGACACTTAAGCCACCGCTCCAACCTGTCAAACCATTAGAGGCTCAACAAGATGAACCAATGGATGAAGTACCGCCACTCGGGAACGAACTCGAGGTCGGAGCATTTGAACAGGTGGACATGGATACTTCCGAAACACCAACAACACCGCAGGGTGGCCAACCGAAGCTAACCGCTCGACTCACTCGACCAACAACTCTGCCGGGACTCTCACATAAAGAGCCCATAGCAGATGATAAAGGTCCGAGGAGACGTCTATTCTCACCTCCACCAGTCCGAACAAAGGAACAACTGTTGGAAATCCTGAAAAAGACTCCAATGGACGAAACACAACCGGGTCAGTCACAGAAACCGACCTCGGTAACGAAGTCAGTGTTCACCCCCGGAGTCCATAAGAAGTTAGTCCGACAGGCTAAGAACTATGACCTGGAACGGATCCTCAACGAAGCCCACCTAACAGAGGGACTGAGGCTAGGAAAGCTATCCACTGACGAGCAACAAGCACTCGGCCAGCGGATATAAGCGTTGATCCAGGACAGGGATAAAGCTCTACGCCGACTGATGTTTGTGAGGTGCGGAAGACAGGCACTACGACAGTTTCCGTTGGACGCGGCCATTATTAAGCCAGCCCAACTACTCCGACACCCTCGCATCAACCCTGCAGCCTACACGTTGGAGATGCCTCCTCAACCCGGTCAACAGGTTACCGAGAAGATTCGATGCATCATGTCCGACAGTAGCGACGAATCTGACCACAACTACAGAAAGGGTGCTCAGATCGAAGATGACCCGACCTATGACGACGACTTAACCTGGCAAGAGACCCTGCTGATGGATGCACAGACAAGCTCCAGGTCGTCACACGGATCTCGACCGGCAGAATCAACGCCGAGAAGGAGTAGATCTCCGGTGAAACAAATTTCACCGAACCGGGCAGCGTCTCAACCGGCGACGATGCCGAGTCAACCTCCGAAGGAACAACCACGTAGGTTTACGCCCCGGAATACTCCAACCAAACCAAAGCAGACCCCGGAGGAGATGGACACGACGTCTCCAAAGGAGGTCGGACCTGAATCACAGAATGAATCGACTTCGGAACCAGCCAAGTTGGTCATTGACGAATCTCGGACAGATGAACCGGCAACAGCTCCGGGTAAGAGAAGTAAGAAGAAGCAGCAACCGGCTGATGACTTCTCGCGAGAATACCACGACGACCCAGCCTTAAAGCACGTTCAGGACCTGACTAGGTCGGAACAGGATGCGAGTGTGGACACTGCGTTTCCAGAGGACAAAGAACTCTGGAACTCACTCAAGTCACGCCGTGCTAGCCTCGTTGGGAACACCGACGCGGTTCGTAAGGAACATGAACGACTTACGCAAAGGATGGCTGAGGTCATGAAAAGAATGGGAGAACGATTCCGGGCGGAGAAGGTCCGACCTGCGGCACAACAACAGGCCGCTACGACTCGACCGAAACTCTTTGCACCGGACCCGAAGTCGACCTCCACGACAACACGTCAATTGGTGGTCAAGATGAAGAACCCTCAACCAGTAAGGGAACCTTCCGTGCAGATCCAGGACGAATTACTGGATTCAAAGGTGATCAACTCGGCTAACTCGGCTAAGTTGTCACGGAGAGAGAAGAAAAAGGCTAAGAAAGAAGCCAGAAAGGAAGCTGAAAAGGAGGCGACCAAACAACCTCCAAAGGAACCGACTAAACCAAAGTCGGACCTTTCAATTAAGACGCCGAAACCTAACCCGGCCAAACGGCATAAGCCCTCCGACGACCTTGATACCTCAGACGCTGGCCCACAGAAGCCGGACAAAAAGGGGAACGCCAAGGAGGAATTTGACTACGACGCAGCCAAACAGCGGATGCGAGAACTGATCGCCAGAGCAGGTACTGCGGTGACCAAAACGGAGGCCGAAAGACCACACGAAAGGTCTAAGCCGACGCCT